GCTTTCTGTCTCTATGTCTCTCTGTCTGTCTGGCGAGCACACGCGCCCTTATAGTGAAAACCTCTCAAAAAATTAATTTTTTTAAGAATATCTATTTCATTTAATTAATTTATTATTATTAGTTTTTATTTTACATTTATTCACTGGACATTGTCACAGCATACAATATGCGAGTTCCCATCCAGAATACACTGTATAGTGGCTTAATTATACATGTTATCGTCAACAAATAGTTTTCCATTTCTTGTTTCTTTTATGTATATATATTTTTTGATTCCTTATTTCTCACCCTCTGCCATTTCTCACCCTCTTCCTACATTGTCCCTGGTATCTACAGTTACTTTCCATTCTTTTTTCCCCCTACATTTTGTTAAATCACAAAATAATGTAAATACTTTTAATCGAAAGTACAGCTGATATATGCACATCTGTGAACACATGTCTGATTTTAGGCATGAAGCTCGATGAGTAGAATGAACATAAATAAAGTAGCACCTAGCTGAGGCTATATAGCTCACTACAGTCCTTAATTTCAGATTTATTTCATTTATCTCTTCCACATTTAGTAAAATTTGTTTATTAAAATACTGATTCTCAGATGTTTTTGTTAAGGCCATACAATAGATTTTTTAATAATGTTATATCAAATATTTAAAAAGCTGCTGGTAATCTATCAAGTTCTAAGCAGGATAATGGGCCTCAGTCTGAGACACTGGGTTTGGCTATTGAGACAAATAGAAAGTTGATTCTCAGCCATAGTTGTGTAATGTCTGCCTTTCATTGTAAAAATATAACTTGCTACCCAGGGAGCTTATGTCCCTCAGCTGCAATTATGTTATTTGCCTTGTGGTTTTCAGCTCAGACACTTCACAGGAATATTTACTATACAACCATCAGGAACACCCTTCTGTCACACTACAGCCATTCAATTCATGATGAAGCTTTGTAAGTGGATATTTAAATGGAGTATGTAGTTAGTAAACAAATTCCAGGAGACATTGGCATAAACCTCCCATATCTTTTTTTTTTTTTTTTTTTTTAGGGTTTTCCCTTTAGGACCCGTG